TCAGTCACACTGGAGGACATTTGACTTTTCATCCACAGTACCTTACTGCAACAGAGTGTAAACCGTCGTCCTCTGTGCAGCATCTGGGTGGTTTGAGAGGGCGCGGCATAAACAACATGTCAGACGGATTTGGTTTGATTTGACTCCCTCCACATTGGGAGGATGGCTGTGCAAGGGTGGACAGCGTGTTTTGAAGCCAAATTGAAGAGAGGGTTGGCCGAAGCCATACTAACAACAGAGCAACTGAGAGACACTAACATTTATGCAGAGAAACCACACACACACACACACACACACACACACACACGGATGGATGCACATGTACTGGGTTGCATGGTTACATAAGAGAAATGATTACATTTACACAGACAAGCCAGATACACACATCCACGAGAAGATATGAAGTGGTGTACATTTACAACACAGGAAAGGAGCGATGCCAACATTTACACAGGAGAAAATTAATGCAAACACACACACACACACACAGATGGTGGCAGAAGGGTAGACCCCCTAGTCTGTCCACATATGGCTGCAATTGACCGGTAGGGTGGGTGGATAAATGGCAGCCGACCAACCGGTGGTATAATTATCTGACCAGCCTCTTTATGTAGCCTTAAATAGCAGTCTTGTTTGCACTAAAAATAAACTGTCATTTCAGCCTGCCGACATTTGACCCCTGACACCTGACCCCGGGGGCAGAAAGGACAAAGGTCAGCCATCTTGTTCTTGGTGCTTAAAATAGCAGGGGGACCTCTCTTCAGCCTTGAACCTGAATCAGAAAGAAATGAGTTTGGAGAGGACCAGTTCAAGTCCAAGTGTCATCTTCTCTCAACTACAAGCACCAAATAGGCTTCTAAAATAAAAACTATTTTAGCACTTGTGATAGGTAACTTTTTTTTAAAATTATTTTTATTCTAACTATGTGCTAACTTCACACCCACTACTTCCATGCTTACTCCGTCAGAAGCAGTGCAAGACTCCTAAAGTTTTTTTTAACTTAGAGGTGTCATCAATGGTTCTAATCCAATATACTTTTTGTAAAATTCAGCAAATATCTCCACACGGTCTGCTAGCTCTCTGTTCTATATGGACCTCATAATACTGTCGTTCCTGCACTTTAAGACTGGCTGAGGAGGAAAACTTTGCTGCAAAGAGTGTGGGACTTGACAGCTCTAAGCAATATGTAGCCCACTTTCTATGTTTGCCTTTGTTGAAATAATCATATACATAATGATATGTATTAAATGTTATTTCTGCAGATGGATAGGCAACTGGCTTGGTTGCAACTCTTCATCGTGTTGAAGCCATTTTTCTGGGCAGAACAAGTTTTTTTTCTTTTTGGACACACTTTGAACACTGGATCACCACCTGTTCACCCTCAACATACCCTCCTTCTCCGATTCTCACTGGCACACACAGAAAAGAGTTAATGACCCTGACCTGTGATTATGATTGCCTTTGGCATTCACCTGCAGCTCTGCTCCAGACACTCACACAAGCAGTCTGCAGAGACCCAGCAGACCCCTGACCTCTGCAATAACACACAGGGCCAGATGTGGTGACAGAACTCTCTCTTGTGCACATGCACTAAAAGTGCATTGGATGGAGGATGTGAGCGTCATTCAGACATTAATCAAAGGGATGCAGGCTGTCCTTCAGCCATTCACTATTCAGTAGTTTGCTTAGTTACTGTTGCTACTAGGGATGAGCGAGTACATTATTATCTGTATCTGTTCAACCAACTTGTGCTTAGACCGGAAGTGTGTGTGGCGGAACCACAGAAGCTAATGACCAGCCAAGCCAGTAGCCAATCCTGTGTTCTGCTAGGTTAGACACACAAGTTACCACCTCCAGGACTAACCATAAGTTGTTACTTTAAGCCTGAAATTGATCTGGGTTGGTCAGAAATTGCTATATTTATTAGATTAGATAGATATTAAACCTTTCACTTGTTTGATACTTGCAAAAAGTACATTATCTGTATCTGTATCTGTATCTGTATTTTTTCAGGCGAGTACTCGCTCAACCCTAGTTGGTACACACTAATTGGGTTAATTAGGGAAATTGGTTATTTCATCAAAAACAACCCTTCTGTTGGGTAGTTTTCTTCCCATTGTTACTGGGTCAAATTAAACCAGTATTCTATCAGTGCTGGTCAATTGTGATCCAATATTTTTAGTGTATGCATGTCAAGTGTTCTGTTCTCGCACAGCTCATATGCAGTTTACAATAATAACGGTAACAGACATAATTCTTTGAAACAATGTGTCCTCGATTTCAGGCAGAGATAGACAAACGCAGCTTCTTATTCTAGCTGGCGACTGTCGCTAGCAGATCTTATCAGCTATAGAGAGCTACATAATCAAGCGAACTCAATTTTTTTAGCTTACTTTTTAATGTCTCAAGCTGATCATTTTGACAAAAATCTTTGACAAAAAAAAAGAGTCTTAAACATGCAGTTGATGGCTACATACATACTGGCTCAAGTGTGGTCAAGTTTTCATCAGTTGCCTATTATTAGGCTACACATCAAGCAGAGCAACATTAGCTTTAACTTGGAGTTGTATTTCTGTCCACTGCTGCATGGAAACCCATCTTCACTGTCTTTTAGCTCTGCTTTGGTCTTCACCAACTCAGAGGATATAGGGATCTTTTACTGCTAAATGCTCCACTACTGTACATTCACTAGCTAGTTGCTAACTTTGTCAGGCTGCTGTGGAATGCTGGGCAAGTAGTGTACTGAAGGTTTTACTGAGTTATTTTCATTGAAAACAGCTGTCTACACTGGGCAGAAACAATGCTAAAAAGAGTGCAGTTCGCGGGCTGAAAAACCAAAACAATAAGCTAAAAGAGGATACAAAAATTCTATAGAGCTGAGGAGAACTGTAGACCAGGGTGATAGTTCTGTGTCACCTCCAACCAGTGTAAGATACTGAAAAATAGTACTTACAGTTACTAGTTACTTCTCTCAGAAGTAATTGAATTACTACATATAAAAGTAATTAGTTACTAGGTAACTTAAAGTAACTTTTGTCTTAATTTTTGCTAAGAGAAAAATGTATCTAACTAGTTATTAAATAATTATGAAAGGACTGAACTGTCTTGAGCCACCGTAAGGTAATTTCAGTAATTGTTATTGCCTTATTTAATTTAAAATCGTAATTTGTTACGAGTTACTGCTAAAAGTAGTGGAATGCGTAACTTCATTTCATTTGATTTATTGTTACTATAAAGATCTTGGTTAATGGAGCTTTAATTGTTAACAAATTGACAGTACTTTAAAACCAGTTGTGCACTCAATCATTATGTGGTGATGAACTTAACTTAGTGCTTGCTCTATGCATTACTGTTTTAGGAATCACTATTATATAGAGTTTTAATATAAATACTGTATAGTCATTTCCTATATTAAAACCTCATACTTTGATGTTGGCCCAAATCAAAATGGACATCAAATGTAAGAGCAACATGGTATGTGCAGCAGGAGGAGGACCATTCTGTGTGTGCATATATCCAGGATGTGGGGAGTTGTTGCCAATTTTTCTGAGCATATCCTCTGGGTATTAAACAAAACACCTTTCTTTTCACAAATACGGTCTTTACATTGATATGTTTGGCATGCGTCTAATCAGTTTGATTTTCTTTGGGGAAACTGTTACACTGAATGTAAAGCAGCCCAGATACTGGAGAAGGGAGTGCGGGTTAAAGTACTCTTTCAACAACGTCACATTTGATCACATATGACATGGAAATTGCTCTTTACAAAATCGCTGTCCGGGCAAGGAGTTCATTACAATACCACAACTCTGTTCTAAGGTTAAATATTTCTCTTCTCCCTTCTTTGCTCCTCTTCGCAATCTGATACCCTGTTTCACATAACCGCACACACCCATAAGCAATTTACATCTATAAATCCTATACAATAACTTCTCTCTGCAATATGAAACCAGAATATATTGCAGCGTAATAACTTTAATTAACTTGTAATACCTTTCATGTCAATCCTGTTTCGCTTTGTTTGTTTGCATAAACCAAAAAGGCCAAGGTCCACTTACTAGCTTTTTCTAGAGGTTTCAACCATATCACCCAGTACTCAAAGGCCTGAGAAGTCCTAAAAGTGCTGTGGAAAACATATCAATTATTGAGCTTGCATGTTAACAGATCCGACTCAATGATAACTGAGGAACCTCCATCTGCTAATGAAAACCATGTAATATGGCTGAAGACTCTGGAAAAAGCTATAAAACTGACCTTCGGTTGAGTCCAAAAAACTATCCCTGCGGTTTTAAAAGCAGAAAATGTCCAATAATCTAATTGTTGTTTGTTAAAGGACAATGAGGGAAAGCAAATATATATATATATATTTATTACGCTAAATATAAAAGATAGGCTGCAATATTCAGTATGCAGTAGAAGTACTAAAAACATCCACTGTTTGCACACGACTCTGTGCAGCCTGTGAGCAGATAACGTGATATGAAAAATTAAATTAAATTTTCACTGGATAAGCTAAAACAATGAATTGGTTTTTTTTTGGAGAGCAAGATTTGTAGTCCAGGGAATCTCTTCAGAACCAAAGTACTTGCTGTTTTAAATTTTACCTTTATGGAAAAATAGCATCGTCTGTGATTATATCTAAGACATGCGTAAAGCCACTAAGATATTAGTTAAGCCCAGCAAACTGAAAGCTGAAAAGAAATGTTTTCATTCTGATTTTAAAAGACGACAGCATTGGGGCAGACCCAACATGGCTGGAGGTTTGAAGCATAAAAGCTCCAGTTCAGCTGGCATGGCTGTAGACTACAGTTACAGATATAATAAGCAGACTCACAAGTCTCTTTTTCCTTCCCATATTTCCTCTCCCACTTTTATACTTCTTCCTTCCTCCTTATCTGAAAATATATCTGCCCCCACCCCCTGCAACAAGACTCAGACATCTAATGAACTGATCTCCTGGACAATCTGTACATTGTTTTTGTTTGTTTTTTATCATTTAGGGGGTCACCTCATGGGTCCAGTTCCCTGCAGCGTACAGACAATCAGGTCAAGAAGCCTAGAGTTTAGGGACACAACTCTGGCACACTGAAGGACAGATGTCAACGCACACACACAGAGACACACACAGACAGAGGAAGCTGGAAAACTAAAGGAAGCTATGGTGACAAACCATTTCCCCTGTTCAGCAATTATCCAACCATTCAACTCTGCACTGAGGCTCATTACATCCAGGCCTGGAATGACATTTGGAAACGGTTGAAGGGGGCCCATTCAGCGCTGCACTTTGTTGTTGTTATTATTATTGTCTGTGCTGAGAGCAGCCCATTAGCACACACTCCGGTCCTCCCTCTGCCTTTCACCACCTGCACTTGTTAAAGGAGCTGATCCCATATCAGATGTTTGCTATGAAATAATTTGCCGTCTTCACTGAAGGATATTACAGCCCTGCATGAACTGATTGTGTTTACTGTGATATATTTTAAAAGCGCAGAAATGACTGCTAAGAATTCAGGAAAAAATAAAACATATATTTTAATACATTTGGAAGGTTGGCATATACATTAGGGGTGTGGGTTCATGAGTGTATTGTGTGTATGAAGAGTATGAAGAATGAAAAACATTTTAATTGTTAATATTGTTCCAAGTGACAGTAATCTATTATTTATCTAAGAATGTCCTAGTCATTTTTCTTTTCTTTTCTTTTTTTTAACTGTCAAACATTTCTACAAATGTTTTAAACACCATGTTTGTTTATAATTATAAACAATAAATTAACACTACAGGATAGAAATTGTTAACTAATTTCACAATTATGTTCATATAGTGAATGCTAAATATGCAAAAAAAAATTAAACTAAATGAAATAAATAAGAATAAATATTTATTCTTGAAGAAAATTGACTGTCTTTCTAAATGAGAAAAATAATACTGCAAGGACATAAACATGAGGAAAAGCATGAGGAAAGATAATCTGTTGAATAAATAACGAACATATTGTCTCATGAAAAACTGCCACACTGTAGCCTACCGTGAAGAAGAATTTAAGTAAAAGATAAAGTTCACTGTAGGCGCAGTTACGTGCAGATAGATTAGCATGTGCTACAGGAACAGGCAGGTTTAACAGTCTCCCTGAAGCAGAAAGGCTTTGTCTGTTACGTGATTCTATGTCATGCTTTATTGCTCGTTATATAGGATTACAATTTAAAAAAACAAAAAAAGATAAGCTCTTTTTTTTCCTCAGAGCTTTTTTTGGAGCAGATTCTTGTTATTGTTGTCAATTTTGCAGCAGGAGACAGTTCTTTGTCTAATAAGATACGTTCATCTGACAATTGTTTCACCACTGCAGTGGTATTTGGTGTCTTCTAATTCCCTGTGCGCTGGGCACTTGTATGTGCATGACACAATAAATAACAAATTCTATAAATCTCAATATAGTCACTGATGATATTTTAATAAAGAACGTATTGTCATTAAAAAATATATTTTACAAATACATTCACCAAGGTGTGGAAAAGATGACCTGCACAAGGTTCCATATTCTCCATTATAGAAAATAGAAAATAAAGAACACCATATTTGAAATCCAACAAATTTATTAGTAGATTTAGGATGCACTTTATCTTTTTATCCAGACTGCACTCTACAACACTGTCACTGCAGCTGTGTGGTGTCTGTTTTATTATATGCAGACTTAAAATTTGCTGCATGTTGCTGTTCTTAATCATAAGAACACAGACAAACAAATCAAATAAGATATTCATACAAGTTGAGTAAAATAGGACAAATTCTGCTTGTGCACCCAGGATGTGTTTCACCTCATCAAGTTGTTAACACTGGTCTCAAGTATAATTAAATGTTTTAAGCAGTGGTGGAAGAAGTACCCAGATTCTTTACTTAAGTAAGGAACCAATACGACAATGTAAAAGTAAAAGTGCTGCATTCAGATTTTCACTTAAGCAAAAGTACAGAGGTTTTATCAGCAAAATGTGCTTAAGAGCTTTAGAATTCATACTCTTTCTTTCAACAAATTGCTAACCTATTAACACTGTCAATAACATAATACAGTTAGCTACCTTGTATTTGAGCTTAGGATATATTTTTTAGGGCTGCAACAACAAATTAGTTAACAAATGATTGACTAATGAATTACTTTCTCAATTAATAAATTTTCTTAATACCTTCTTAATAATATAATATTAATATAAGTGACATTATACACTTGCTTGTTTTCACTAAACCTTTTTTTTTAAATCTCCAATGTTTTTAATGTAAAATCTTGGTTTTTAACTTTTTAACTATAGCAGTCAAATAAATGAAGTGAGTAAAAAGTATGTTGTTTCTCTCTGAGATGTACAGTAGCATACGTTCATTACAGACGTGCGGCTATGCAGATGTGCAGTGGTAATATAGTGTGGTACAGACGCGCTGGCAATGGCTTCTAATGACTTTCCCAACTGTTGAACTACTGACTCTGTTGGTGATAATAAACTTGCATGGATTTTGTTGGCTCTGAAGTGGAGTTTACAGAGAACAAACAACATTATTTCCTGTAATTCAAAAGCCAGGTTGGGTATTTATTATTTATTTGCAAACATCACACATGTAAACAGTTTTAACAGCCTCAACATTAACATTAACTTGTCTATGCACCAAACCTCAAATAATGTATTTGAGAGAGAAGTGATATGTGCATATGCGTTAGTTTATGTGCACATTAGGGTACTATGAAAACATAGCCTGTGCTATATGAGACTGACAGTGTTTCAACAAGTGGCCCTTGCTACAAATGCTGATTACATTTTAAATACACCAATGGTTCTTAGATACAGTTGCAAATCTGAGTCCTTTATTTTAGCATACTGACTAAGGAACTGGTTAAAAATAACTATGCTATGCAAAAAATGCTAATACGTACGGATATTAACACATATTAGTCGTTTGATACTCATATAGACTCATATAGAGAACTGTACTGGATACTAATTTCAACCCTACTAGCTTGCTACTTTCCGAGTAAAATACAAACTTAACACCACAAGGGGGGTTGTTCTCTTAATGTTATGGTACATAACCAACACTAGGCTTATTGGAGGCACAGGTGAACACATCTTATATCAATCGCCAGCCTTTAAATGTCAGACAGCAGCTTCCAAGGAAAAAAATGGTTTCATCTTCTTTTGAAAAATGGAAAAATATGCAAAATAGCAGCAGTATCTTTGTAGCAAACATACTTACACAAAAAGTGTTGAGAGGTAGAAAAGTGTGGAGAGAGATATAGTGACAGCTGAGAAGGATCAGTTTTCATTAGAACGCCACTTGTTATTTGGGTGAACCGACCCTTTAAGAGACAGACAAACTCAGTCTAACCTCAGGAGGGAGGTAGAGGCTTCCAGGTCTCACAGCTTCTTTTATAGAAGGAAAAGTGTCAAAATTTCCCCCCAGCTCTTTCCACTGCTGACACACTGCGCCAAGAACGACCACAGACACACACACACACACACACCAGGCTGTTAGAGCTGCTGGAGAACGATATCAGACACTGAAAAAACAGTTGTTTGTGAAGACAGTGAGGAGAGCAAGGCAGAGGTTGAAACAGCCAATATGCGTTTGCCGTTTGCAGTTGTTGAAGTGGCCAACAAGGGGTGCTGTTTGTGTGTTGTGTGTGTTGTGTGTGTGTGCTGGCGTATGTGTGTATGCTGGGATCGTGAGAGGGGAGGTGTGAAGCTGTTGCGCAAAGGGTATAGAGACCAGTGTTACGTCATGTAATTGATATAATAACAGCTCACGTTTGCATCTGCTGGAGAGTATAGAATCCCATTCACTTCTTTGTTTGATTGTTGGTATACTTTTATTTACTGTTATTCATTTAGGCTCAGAAGGTCAGTGTTTTTTTTTTATCACTAAAGAATTCAAAAATGTCAAAAATTACCATCAAAGTCCACAAGTTAAGTCTGGGTCTG